TGATCATACCCGTGTTTTTTATTTTCAGAATGGCCACCCCCTCGACAGCTGGTCTGAAAGACCTGGCGCACCCCTGCGTCCCTGACCGAGCACCTCTCTCGGGCATGAGCCCCACCTGACCGCGTGCTGCCTCCGTCAGTCCCGGCCCCGTGGAGCTGGGGTGCCGGACAGTTCCGTGCAGACGGCTCCCCCACGCGGCAAGCAGCCCCGCGGCGCCCCCAGGTGCAGAGCCGCGCTGCAGGGCGCCCGGTGCCGGCTTACCTGGCACTCTCAAAGGTGGCGGATGCCGTCTTTTCTATAGCCCCGAATCCGACTCCGACAGCAAGGCCCTCTGAAACAGACAGAAGAAAGGCACGAGGCGTCAGGAATCACCTCTCGATAAGGAATGTTGCCGTCACCGCATCAGGCTCCTCGTCACAGAAGATTCAACCTGATAGGAGCTCAGACCTGACACGGCACCTAACACCACAGGGCCTGACCCAGCCGCCGCCCGCGTTTGCGAGGCCTGTGAGCTAGGAATGGCATCTGCATTTTTAAATACATAATCATCAGAGAAAGCATACTTCATGACACATGAAAATTATATAAAATGCAAATTTCAGTGTCTGTAAATAAAGTTTTATTGGTACATAGCCATGTTCATTGGCTGACAAGTTGTTTATTGCTGGTTTCATGCTACGTTAGCAGAGCTGAGTAGTTGTGACAGAGACTGAATGGTCTGAAAACCTAAAATACTTACTGTCTGGCTCTTCCCAGAGTTTGATGAGCCCTGGCCTAAACACACGGGGTTTTATTTATTAGCGTGATACGGCAGCTCGGTGATGTCACTGCAGACACAGGCTTCAGGTTTTTCACTTTATCCTCCTCACCAACTAGGTCCTCATAGTTGCCCAGTGATGGTGCCACCTCCAGGCATTTCACCTCTGTCCCAGGCAAGAAGAAAGTAGAAAGGCGAAAGCCTTTCTTTATCAAGCCTTTGTCTCATTCCTCCGGAAGGGACGCCTCTCCTGGCAGACTTCCTTACACCTCCTCGGCCAGGATGGGAGGAAGTGCCCAACCCCGGACTGATCGCAGCCCCCGGCCCAGAACTCTGAGACTCCAAGACAGGTTCAGGCCAGTCTCAATCTCTCCCTGGGGCTGGGAAGAGCCCACCCTGCCTACCCTTCCCTTAGACCAAGGGGTCTCTGTATGCCACCAGAACAAACTGCGGTCTTGTCAGGAGGAAAGCAGGCGGCATGGCACAATCACCATCACACATTTTTGGATGCCTGTTCTTTGAAGATCATCCCAGCTCTCAAAGGAACCACCCTAAGTCCAACAGTAGAGACTGGTACAGTTTGCTCCGAAGGCACGGCCAGAGTCGAGCCTGCAGCGTGGGGATGGACAGGACGATTCTCAGGTCCTTCCCAGTGGTGCTCACAGACTCGCCGAGCTCGGGATCAGATGTGGAAGGCTGAGGCTGGTCTGTGAGTATCTGATGGGGCGGTAAGGGCCACGGAAGAGTTATGACAGAGACTGAATGGCCTGAAAACCTAAAATATTTACTGTCTGGCTCTTCATAGAGCTCAATGGCACTGACCCAGCGGCCACGGACCAAAGGCACAGACACACAGCATTACGACACTTTCTGACATCTACAGGGGAGTCCTACGATTCTCCTCACGCCAACTAGAAAGGAGCTTTGCTAAATTACCCATACTGGTCAGAAGCAAAGCCGAGGGCTTTGGGGCCAAAGGAGAACTTTTTTTATGAACAGAAAAGAGGTCAAAATCTACTGAGAGGGGCTTGTTTTCTTTCAGGATTCACTGTCTCCTGGAGTCAGTATTGGTAATACAACCCCAGTGTCCTTGGCCCACTCCAACTATACTGGACATGAGACAATGACCCTTGAACAATGCAGGGTTAGGGGCGCCAACTCCCTGTGCAATTGAAAATCCATGCATAACTTTTGATTCCTCCCCACACTTTACTAATAGCCTATGTTGCCCAGAAGTCTTACAGATAACAAAGTCAACGAACACAC